CGCTCACTCCAGGACCCTATCATCATCTCACCTGGTTGGGCGTCAGCCTATCAGAGTCAATGCAGAGGCCGTGAGCACACAGCTCCTGGCTGCCGCCGGCGCAGTCGTCGTAGCGGGATGTGCAGTGTGTACCCGACCACTCGGGGGTGCAGGTGCAGCTGCGCAGACATGGGGACACACACTAAAAAGTTATTTTATTTGGTACGGGTATTATACATATCGCATGGTTAACTAGCACTTGAATTTTTTTGAAACATGTAAATGGAACCTAAAAATGGTTCAAAATGGCTTATCATTACAATATTCTTATATTCTTCATCTGTAATGTCATCGTGAAAATGCACTAAAATGTCAGGTTATTCACCATCGCTTCTTACGCACGTCTTATTTCTAGCAGAATCTAGCTAGGAAGTTAAGTTTTGCCAGCAGTGCGGCAAGTGAAATAAGTCAAAATACAAAAAACACGGGATAGACGTCAAGCCGTCTGGTAGGAGTGTGCTCGTGCTCGCACTTCTGCGCAGTGATACGTTTGGTGTGTGGAGTTTGGTGGAAGAAAATAGTTCCTACATTAAACTGCTCACTATAAAGCCCAAGGATTATCATGAGTAACCAGGTCATGATTTCTCTTAAGAGACATTGCTGTTGAATTGAATTTTTCTTTTGGGCTCTATCACCACAGAAAGAATGCTATTCAGTCCCATTGTATTCCAGAGATCGACATTTCTACAGCCGATATCTCAAAAACTAGGCATCTCCCAGAAGAACAACCTCGATGGATAGATAGCACTAAGACCCCTCTAAAACATGTCATTGGTATTTCTTCTGATGTTTTCACTTGCTCATCTGAGCCCCCTAATAAATGGTGCCCTAGGCGATCACCTGTGTCACCAATGGGTCGGGTCGGACCTGAGTGAAATGATTTGTACAGCTACATGATTTATATGCAATTTATCTGCAAGTAATTTCATCCGCAAAAACCTAAAAAGAGTCACAGTAGACTTTTATTTTGACTTTCATTTTGACAACTGTTTTTGGCTTTGCGATGTAAGTCCCTCCTACTTGTGGTAACCCCTCCCACTTGTGCCATAAGTCCCTCCTACTTCTGGTAGCCCCTCCTACTTGTGCCATAAGTCCCTCCTACTTCTGGTAACCCATCCTAATTGTGGCTGGCTCCAGGTTGCAGAGATACATTCTTGTCAAAACTGGCCTTTTGTTAAACTGTTCACTTTGTTAAACTGTTAAACTTTCACAAAATTTTGGAACGTTAGAAAAAAATGGTAAATGGAGGTGGAGCTGCGTTCTGGCAAGGTGCGATTTGAACATAAGCAGGTTTTGCCAGGTTCCATCTATATTTAAACAATGGGGATTTTACCTGTAGGATCCAGGTGTATTGTAGCAGGTGGCGCCGTTCTGGCAACCCTGCGTGGTCCCTGCATAGATCTGGCATTCATTAACGTCCGTGGTGCAGGTGGGGCCCTGAGAAACAGAGCATGCGGTTGCCAGTCACAGTTGGGGAGGTGGGGAGTTCTGGAAAGATGAGGACTCCTTGCTCTCTCACCTGCCAGTTGTCTAGACAGATGCAGTGAAAGGCATCCAGCAGGTTGAGACAAGTACCGCCATTCTGACAGGGGTTGCTGTGGCATGTCTTCCTGTGGACCGTCTTTGGGGGGGGAGGACATGGGAATTAGCCAACCAGCATTGTGCTTTGCCATCGATAAACACGAACGGCAAGATTGCGAGAGACTGATAAACAGGAAAGGCTCATAGAGAAATGTAAGATCAAGATACAATATGTTACCTCTTCTACGGTCTGAACTCTTGATTCAAGAGTAGTGACCTAAATAACGGAAAAGAGACACAAGTCAAAATTCCATCCCCTGAAATGACTACACTCAGACTGGCACGTAGTTGGACGACCCAGAGAGCAGAAGTGGACTCACTCGGGTGTTCAGCTGATTCAGCTGATTGCTGACTTCTGGAGGTATTCCACCCCCATTGGCCTTGAGGTTAGCGATGTCATCTTTGTTCGTCTTGATCTAGAAAGATGAGGAGTCTTCATAAAGTGAATAAACGAGCACAGAACGAGCTCAACTAACATCTGGCTTTTCAGCCGTCAATGTGACACCTACAGGTCTATATACACAATGATATATTGCTCTAGCATCTGATGCTAGTATCCATTCTGCGGGTCTCTGAAGTTTTAGGGTCCTCCTCTACGTCTGGCTCCCACCTGGCCAATCAGCTGCATCAGGTCCTCGCTTCCTACTTTAACCGAGCCCGATCCTCTGGTCTGGAAGACAATGTTTTTGTGGTCTCCGGTGGAGAAGAGCAAGTTGCCATGATCGGAGCTCATGCGGGGCCTGGAGGAACAGAGGCACGATGAACCCAGCCGTTCCAAAGAATTACAGCAAACATACTGCCTATCACCACCCAATCAGAACAGCTGTTCAGTTCCAGAACTAACTATACTATTCAGACACTGATCTTGTCAGTCTATAAAGAAAAGATTAGATTATTTTTATGATGCGTAATCCACAGAGTCATAAACAACCCTCAACCTTTTAAAGTCAGCATTTTGTATTTGACAGTAAATCTGTGATGAGATTTCAGAAGTGACATTATCACTCTCTGTCACATGGATTATCTGCTCATAAAACATACATTATAATGTTTATCATTTTATGTAAGATAGTCCTACTGTCACTACTGCTGTGGCTAGGTCAGTAAGAATAGATAAACCAAATTCAGAAATTCTGTGCAGAGACAATTAAAGAACAAATTTCTGAGACTCACTCCTTCCATTTCTTTGTTGTTTTTGAGATGAGATTACCAATGACCTAAAGTTATGCTTCCTTATCATATGTTACATTATCGGGAACCAATACTCACTCAGTCCTCATGTAATTCAACCTAGAATTAAATTTCCAAGACTCACTAAGTCCACAAAATTTTCCTGAAAATGTATCCTGTGGATTTTTTTTCCGAATATTTAAATGCTGCTGCTATTTAAAAATAAAATGTAAACAACAAGCATCACCCTGCATCTTTAGAAATGTGGACAAAATAAGCACCTAATTACATCTTAATATAATGGATATACCAAAGAGTTTCATCACCGTTTGCCTACAGAACAGCTTCAATCCTTCTTGAAATGCTGTCATATAAGTCTGAGCAGTGTACCGGGACACTGGATCCCTTTCCTAGAAGAAAAGCCTCCAGATCTTTGAGGGATGAAGAAGATGAGAATCTGTCTCACACTCTGTGCTTCTGAAGGTTCAATGACGTTTAGATCTGGAGATTGGTGAGGAAGGAGCTTGACTTCATTCTGGGTGTCATGGCACCAGTCCTGGTTTATGGTGGCTTTATCATCTCAGAATATGACAGAATATCTCTGGGCATTACTTGGTCTTGGATGCAAATGGTATCTGAACTGCAGCTTTCATGTAAACCCCAGCTGTCAATCCCAGACAATAAGCTTCGACTTGCAGCCAATGTTCTCCTGTGCAATTTGGTTCTCATACGCCTTTAGCATTTTCAAGACTGTAATACGTTAAATAATTTTGTAGCTTTTGTGACTCGTGCACCCACAATTTGGGCATTTGGTCTCTTTGGAACTGCTAATCAACTTACCATACCACAGCTGTTATGATGATTGTACAGTACCTCTGATTTAGTTATTTTCAAGTTACAATCATTTCACATGAAGTTTTTTCCCATCATTTGGCCCATTCCCTGCCAGATCCTGTCTTGGTGATGCTTTTCAGCCTCTGACCTCCAATAAAGTGGGACAGAGCTAGATTGACTTACTGGATGTGAGTATCCCGTGTGTCTCCTGTTTTCACTGTAGACATCAAAAATCACCCTGCACTTTCAAAACGCAATATCTGTAAACTTGCTGCTAATTAATGGCTACAATCGAGCCAGTTCCTCCAAACATTCTAGATCAAAATATCGTCACTCATTGTTTAAAACTCTCCTCTTTGCCTCTCTGGCCAACCAAGGAAATCACTGACTTCGACTAACTGTTACTAACTAAACTAAGCTCAGCAGCTTATTAACTCGACAAGTTCTGAAAGAACTCCCAACCTCACACCAGCACCTTCTAGCTAAGCTTGGATGAACCTTCTAACCTGCCGACTGCTAGATCTCCAAATCCCCAGAGAGCTCATGTCACCAAGGAGCAAAACCGCACTTACTGGTCACTGCTGATGTCCCTGGTGTTCCGGACACCAGCCCTCTTCCCAGAGTCACCCCGAAGCCCCACGGAGAGGAGGAGGACACAGAGGAGCGTCCGAGACATTTCGAGAGCACACCACTCTCCTCTGGACGCGGGAATGGTGACCTGGCAGCAGGATCCGCTCTAATGCCCTCCTCAGATAGACTTTGCCCCCTCTGTGCTCCCCTGGGGCAGCAGGGTCCCAAAGCACAGAGCAGTAAATGCAGGAAAGCGTGACTGAATGTAAACTCTGGTCCTGCTGGGGGGCAGGAAGAAGGTACCGTTTTATTCCCACTGTTCTATTTTATTATTCCAACATTGCCCCCGTCTGCCACATGACCGTGGAGATGAGTAACCGGACGCCTGGGGAGACACTTTGAGCATCAAGCTGAGAAATCCACCAGAGATGGTACTATCTCAGCTTTACGGTCCAGATTCAGCAATGATTGACCTTCCCTATCATAATTACTTTTGAATAACTGACAGACACGTGTAGCTAGGCTTGTGAAAGCCGATAAATTTATTTACTTACATCTGAGCTACTGAAGCAGTACTTCCAAGGGGCTACCCATCTGCTCATTCGGCTTCAGCTCTGTGCCGCCTATCTTACTCCCACCAAACAGCACATGTACAGAATTACCAGAAAGTTCCAACTCTTTATCCTGGACAGGATAATGGGGAGGGGGGGGGGGGGGGGGGGGGGGAGCTAGAGCCTATCATGGCAAGTCCACCACAGGCCACGAGGCAGGCGGACACCCCGGATGGGTTGCATAGAGAAGCAATATTACAAAAATACTTTATTTCATCGCAGTAAGAAAATTTACATATAAAACAATAATAATTATGAACAACAACAATAATAATAACAACAGTGAGACAGCAAAATAAGCTGGTTACGAGCGTGCTGTCTTGAAGCTCTCCTGTTGCCATTTTATGGCATCACATTGACATTTGCTCAGAACCAAAATGGCCGCCTGCAGCAGCACCTGCGATGGCAGCTCTGAGGGTGGTCCGGTCGTCCCACTACGACACCATCAGCCTGATGAGCCTGGCCACAATGTGCACGTTGAGGCTGTTCCCCAGGAGTCGGTAGCGCTGTTTCAGTGATGACTGCTCGGGGAAACCTGAAAGGAGACAGAACGGTCTATACGTGTCATGAATCTGCCTCCACCCCCCCACAGTCGGTCAGAGGTGGAGATAAGCACACTGTGGGTGTGACCTTGGGCCAGGGGGTGGGATCACGTCGAAACCTCACCGAAGTATGAGGGGAAGCCCATCAGGTTGGCGATCTCCCGCGGGGTGAAGTATCGCAGCTCGAGCTTTGAAAGCTGCCCCAGCTTCTCCTCGTCAGACAACGTGCCGAAAGCCCGGAAGGCGTCTTCTACCTGACGAAGACGAGCCGTCATCATAGATCCAGATCACATGGGCGCTCTCAGCCGACCAATCAGGGAGAGCCGAAGGGCTCACGCATTTCAACACAGCAGGGCTATTAAAAGTGTCACAAAGAATCCCAAAAGGTTTAGACCAGTGACAGCACCTCCCATCTCCTCTCTGGTGGGCTTAAAGAATGCTGTTTTAAAACCACAGATTTTGAAATTTCTGACCTTTAATCCTCAGAAGAACCATGATTTACAGTAAATTACAATCATAAAGTCTATAGGATATGAGCTCTAATAAATGGCACATATGAAATTTGAAAAACTAATCTGAAACTAATCTGAAACCAAGTGTTAATTTCCTGAATGTGTCCCTGGATGAGACCCGACCAATCATAACTCTCCCCATGTCCCCATGTGAGTCGATCTTGAGCACAGTTCCAGTACCTCAATGTCCGTACGGCTCTGCAGCACGGAGCCAGTGCCTTCCACATAATGTCCGTACCTGTGGGGAAAGGAGGATCCAGCTTTACCCAAAATGCTTATTCATAGTTTTCAGTTATGTGAGGGACCTGGAGAGCAGAAGAACCTTCCAACATGGTGGTACCTGAACTTCGGTGTGAAAGCGTCCTTTGATGGCTACCATTCACTCATTCCCTCCCCAGGGTGGAAGCACATCTACTAAACAGTACAAATCCCATCTCTGCTTTTTCTTGGATGGGATTCTATAGAAGCATGACACAGGCTTATCTCTCTACCAGTTAGTGCATCTAACTGAACAACAATTATCCGGCATTTAGCTAAACAAACATGGTAAAAAATAAGTGTTGTGCACCAGAGTAAAGCCTTGTTTTACCCTCCAGGTGGGTGGTCCAATAAGCATGTGACGTCATGTGAAAACTTTGGATTGGTTTGTGACTGCTGGGAGGGAGGGTTTAGTGTTAAAACATTATTTCTGATTGGTGGGAGTGGGAGGGGATGAGGCAGTGTTACAGAAAGGGCTGACTGGGTCCGGAAGCAGGTGCCAAATCCAGGGTCAATGCCTGATTAGTGCTAGATTACAGGTGGGCGGGCCCAACAGCTATGGCCTCAGCCGATTGGTGGAAGCCGTACCCCTTGGTGAAGCAGACGGACCGCCTGCAGGTGGGCTGGACGATGTCTAAGACCAGGGCGTAGCGCAGCAGGGTCCGTGGCTGGAGCAGGTACCGCCCTCTGTCCCCGATCTCTGCTTCCTCCTGCAGGAACTCCCGGAGCAGACGTACGGAGCCGTCGCTGTCCTGGGAATGCTTCCTCAGCAGATCACATGGCCTCTCCAGCTTGTATAGAACACGACCCCCATCCTCCCCCCCGTTGACCAAGTCAGGCGAGGGGGGGGCTTTGGGGGCGGGGGTTGCCTGTGCATCTGGGAATACCTCCAGAATCTGTTGCAATGTAAATAGTGGAAAACACTCTTCACAAAATCCTAAAATCGGGTCTTCCACATTCTATGGTCAGTTCTGTCTCTCCAGGGATTTAAACCTACAACCTACCGGGGCAATAATGAATCACATTACTGCTTCTCATAAAGCTGAATTTTACCGTGTTCAGCATGTACCCCAAACCCCCAGAAAACCCATAAACATACCAGCCATCCAAAGGAAAAAGAGATTAAGGAGCCAAACTGAGGATGGATCACTCACCTCTGTGGTCGTCTGGAAGGAAAATGATTCTTCTTGTGGCCGGGCGATGAGGAAGTAGCGCAGCCTTGAATTTGGGATGCCCAGCTGTCATTGGAGAGAAGGGGACAACATGAACGACATGCCGTCCAATGAGATGCAAGCTGGAGAGCCAGAAGCCTCACACCACAACGTGCGGACACAGCAGAGTAGGGCAGGGCGATTTACCGAGTTCTTAAGATATACAGAGAAATTTTCATACGAGATATAGGATGAGACAATATCGTTTAAATCGATATAGCTTACGTTGGTTTAAAATTATACCCGTAGAGCTGCCAGTTTGCCTATTTCTCCTCTCCCTGTGTCCCTCTCACACAGCTGTTGTTGTAATGTTTCAGGAATGTTGCAGGACTTACGCATGTCGGGGAGAGGAGAAACTCCTGGTAGTGGTACCCACAATCCTTCAGTGTCTTTACCAAGGAGTCTCTGTGGGGTGGGGGTGGGGGGGGCACCAATAGTGCTGAGGTCACTTAACCAAGTGGTGTACAACAAGCCAGCAGTGGAACCACAGTGTGGGCAGGTGGGAGGGGGATTAATGCCCCTATCTCTCAGGTTACCTGGCGGAGGAGGTCTCAAAGCCCTTGACGTTCTCGAGCAGCAGAAACCGGGGCGGCTTGGCCAGTCTATGGGTGGAGAGATGGGGTGGGGGGTCTTACACACACAAGCCACGCCCTCACCAGGGGGCTAAGAGCCAAAAAAATGACGCCCTTAACCCTGATCGATTAAACATTTGTGCTGGTTGCAGGATGTGGTCTGACGCCAGTAAATTAGCCCTGCGATGTTTGCTTTTCTACTTACTCTGATAGATTTTCATGGCGGGGGGGGGGGGGGGGGGGGGGTTATCAGTATTCAAGAAGGTAAGGCACCGCCCCCCCCCAGGCTTGCATTCGCTTCTCACCTGGGCAGAATGTGGAGGATGTGGAGGAAGCTCTTTGTGCGGCTGTCAGCCACATCACCCTGCAGCCCGATTCTGCAGCAGAGAGGGAGAGACACACACGTTCACAGCACAGCCCTGTCACTCTGCAGGCGTGCACAGTAAGTGCTAATCTGGCAGCACTACACAGAACAGACACCATGGCTCTCGATGACCAGGACTTGCTGTCCTGGTCACAGACGCACCAACAACTTGTCCCCTTCTGAACTCTGATATGTCTCCCATTATGTTGTGTGGATTGCAATATTTTACGTACAGCTGTGCATAAATGTGCTACTGCTCTGCTAATTCAACCGTCACACTCTGCTCGTACTAATGGAATGTGCAGTCAGTGAAAAGCCGTGCAGATGTAGGTGTGAAACCTCAGACACTCACTACACTGGCCAGTGTTTCAGTTTCATTTTCCAGACCCGGAAGTACAGAATGCAGCCATTTAGGGCCTGAGGTCCAGTCTGATAGTGTCTCATAGTCTTTACTGGTGCAGGGTGGATTTTGGAAGCAGCAAACTCTAAAAAGCCCTATTTTGTATGAAAGTGTGAAGAAAAACATCCCAATGGCTTAACCGCCTCAGTGAATCCAGCAAGGTCACGGCGAAAAGGGCAGAAGTCTGGCCTCTATAATTAACCGTGTATAAGTAACCGATTGACTGGATTTGATGCTTGGTGCTACGTGAAGGTTAAAGTTATCTGAAGGCTAATGTGTGGGATTTGAGATCTTGCACACACACACACACACACACACGCACACACACACACACGCACACACACACACACAGTTTACCTGGTGAAGGGCTGGCAGGGGGGACTCATCAAAATCATGTCAAAACCCAGACCGTTGAAATCGTCCAGCGTTATGCACTGAAATCAGACAAGATGGCCGACATATGAACACCAGGCCTAGAGAGAGATCCAGAGCGGTTCGGTCAGCACCAGAACCAGACTCGGGCACCTCTAAAGAGAAACTCCAGCTGAGGCCAGTATCCTGGCCCAGAGCCCAATACCGTAATATTTCCATCCAATCATAGGCTCCAGAAAGGACAACCATGGTCTCCTTTAAGACCTGAACCATGTGACCTGTGTGCAAGCAGGAACAGGAGATGATCTGGGCACAAGGTACACCTCAGTTTACAAGTTTTAGGCTCCATAGTACAGCCTGTCAGCTGAATACTTAAGCTGAATTGACATCTGACAAAAGGCTTAATGTCACATAGATCTCTCTATAATATACTCAGATTCTCAGTGTGGAAAGCAAACAGTACATAAAAATAGCAGCAGGCTCCCTTGTCTTCCTGCAGTACTGGCCTCCTGCCACCAGGAGATGTCACACTGCTGTCACATTCTACACAGCTACTCCAAGGCCCTCCAAAGCTTTTTAACCAGCCTGCCTGCTGACAAGGCGAGTGACCTTCGGCCCTCGTTAACACCAGCCAGTCGTTCTACCAGGGGCATCTCCTCGTTAAAGCTGGAAGGACTCGTGATAGGTCATGCGGCGTGAGCCAGATTGCACATGTTGAGTTGTCCCCGCCCACCTTGTCACACGTTTGTGCGATGCATGCTCAATGGTTATCTCTCCTTAACAATGCTTTCTATAGGTCAGGGAGACATGATTTTCGCCCTCCTGTGCTCACTGTTATGACAGCAGGTGGTGAAATGAGGACGGCGGGGATCTCACCTCGATGGTCTTGGACCACAGGGGGATGTTGGGGAAGTTGTGCCTGTAGACCTCATTGGCTGTGGTGTTGACGTCCACGGCGGCCACCACATCTGCAGGAATGCCACTCTCTGGCAAAATAGACAGTTTAACTACATGCAAGACTCCTATACAGGCATACACTAATAAGACTACTCACAATAAAAGTCGGGATGACTTTCAGGGAGCAGGAAGAGCGAATGCGATTACATTTACAATTATAAGTCTCACAGTTTAACTTAAGGTGACCATTTTTCACTGCTGGGTGCGATCTATTCATTTTCAGTGGCGAGGCCGGTCATTACACCGCGTTAATGGTCCACCCAGGACTCTAAAGGCCAACAGCGGCTGCACAGTGACACTCCCCCGCCTAAGTACCCTGTCACATCGTCGAAAATTTAGACTAAACCGTAATGTAAAGGATGACCCCTGTTGGGGAGACGGTTTAACGGAATACCGACATATGTCTTCGGGGAGAGTCTGCCTCCCGTGCATAGGGGTATCGGTAGCTGTGTGGGACATGGGTGCTGCCTTTTACTCTTAATGAGAGCCTTAAATGAGACATTCTAAACACAAGCGCATTGTTGAGGGCTCAATAATCTATTTTTTTCGCCAGGGTGTCATAAACGTTAACCAGTACATACTCATATACACCAAAACCCTTGAATAATAGGTGCCGACCAGTCACGGATCAAGCGATCACAAGAAATACTAGGATCCATTAATCGAGTCTAAACCAGCTGAGTATTTAGAAACACACGCCATATATTTATATTAAATTATTGTACGCGACTAAAAAAAAAAAAGGATTTTCGGGACTAATTCCGCAAGCATAATGCTGAGTATGGTTAACGATATACGAACTCGAATATATGACAGCTACGGGTTTTGTTTTGGCGTTACTTTAGTGTAGCACAAAATATCTTACCTTTCAATGCAAAATGCATGCCCCCGATTCCACTGTATAACTCTAAAACTCGTAGTGAACTCATGTCCGCCGGGCAGCACGACACTCCGGGTGAAACGTAAACACGAACACGTGTGAAGATCTGTGTTACAGTCCGTCTGTTCAAAATGCCGTCAAAGAAACGTTCCGGATACTTTAGGACCACTACAATCTTATCGCTCTGCATCTTGCGGTCCAATTGTATCAAATAGTAGCTAGAAGATCTGTTTTCTTTTAGTAGATTAAATTATTGTTTAAAGTACGACCTATTCTCATTGTACTAATATTAATCGGTTTAAAATACAATTTATCCATTCAAAAGGTTTTGAAGGTGTTTTGTGTGTTGCATTTGTGTTTTGTATAGGCTATCAGTGTCTTAAAAATGAGAGAAGTTCAATGTGTCATTGCTTTGTAAGAGTTTAAAACTTATAAATCCCAACATATTGGAAATGTATGGATGTTAAATAGGTCTACTCATGTAGTAAAGCATTTCGTAATTGGTGAACATAGGCTAATTTTATACTCTGTAATTAATATGATTCTGAAAGTGTATCTTAAATAAGTCAGTGAATACCAACGGTAATGTACAGTATAATGTATTTAAATTAGGTAATGCCTACATTGCTTAGCATTGACCTCAGTGTAAATTGGACTAGGAACCATCTGCTTAATCCAATCTTTAACCATAGCACTGCATTTTGCTACGATTAATCTGCATTTGGTGTAAACAAGTAGGCTAACTATGTGGTGAAAGTGAAGGCTAAATTATAACAGTTTTAAAGAGAGTAGCTATTCATAAAAATCCTGGCATTTTCAACATGCACTACAATATACTGCCTTTGTTGTATGGAAGTGTTGTCAAGATCGAAACTCGAAAGTCTTTCCCTCAACTTTGTGAGATGCAACTCAAAGAAATGAAAAAGTTACAACGGCCTTCCATCCTGCTGTTTATTCACGTAACCATAACAACCAGCTGTAAATAAAGAGCTTTCTGAATGACGTAGCTGCATCCCCTTAATTAAAGCAGGCAATGTCACGAGCGCGCGTATTTACCAGTGATACTTAATGTAAGGCTGTTTTACATTACGTTTTCCTATTAACCTCATTTATGCGGGCTTAGAACGAACTTTTTACAGGTTTACTCAAGGTCAATATCATTTATAATTATACACATTTATAGTGACTAACAATCGCAATAATTACGTCATTTATTGTGAATATGAACTACACATAGATGAACCAGTTGTTTACAATTGTTTGTGTTCCGTTTTTGGCACGCATTCTCTCTCTTCTAAACTGAAAGAAACTTTTGGACAAGCAGTGCTGGAAACGCCCATCACAATATGCGGAGCATCTCACAGGCTCCGCACAGCGCCATTCAGGATCTGCACCGTTATGTTATTTGCATACGGAGCGGTCTATATAACCCAGTTGAGCCGATCTTATTATTCTTGTTGCGGATGAGTCTGGTGGTGCGCTTGGAAGGAAAGAAAATAATTAGTAAATAAGTTCGTTTAGACCAAAGGAGTACAAAATGACCACGAAAACATTGACCAAGCAGTACCCATCATCCTATAAAAGGATCTTCGGTGAGGAAAGACCCACGATGGCTCGATCCACCTACTCAAGCCGCCAGTTCTCCAGCCCAGTGCGATCACGGGTTACCTACAGTGTCTCTTCAGCACCGTCCACCTACGCCACCAAAAGTTACCGGGTCCGCAGCAGCGCCCCGGGGCCCAAGCTGTCATCGGACACGGTGGACTTCGCCCTGTCCGATGCCATCAACACCGAGTTCAAGGCCAACCGCACCAACGAGAAGGCAGAGATGCAGCATCTCAACGACCGCTTCGCCAGCTACATTGAGAAGGTGCGCTTCCTGGAGCAGCAGAACAAGGTCCTGATCACCGAGCTGGAACAGCATAAGGGCCGCGGCACGTCGCGCATCGGGGACCTGTACGAGGAGGAGATGCGGGAGCTGCGGCGCCAGGTGGACCAGCTGAACAACGAGAAAGCCAGGGTGGAGGTGGATCGGGACAACCTGGCGAGCGACATCGATCGGCTCCGGGAGAAGTATGCGAAGAACGCTTGTTATTGTTTATTATTATTAGTAGTAGTAGTAATAGAAAACATTATTTTACAAAAATTATGTTACGACACAGGAAAAAAATGGAATGACGAAAGAACGTGCAGTTTATTAAATATAAACTGCAAACGTATGTAGGCTACTAGTGCGCATGCAGCATATGAGGAACTGGTATGGTTAGCAATCAGTCAGCCCTGATTGAGTGTTTTAAAACTTTTAAGTTCTTTTTTTATTGCCATGCGCCTGAAACGTCCCCTAACTGTAATTTCTGCAAACTTTCCCGGAAGCGATGTCTCTATGACTTATATGGCGTGAAATTAACATTATCGCAAAATCAGTTCACACGGGGTGGCCGTTTCTCACTCTCAGGCTCCAGGATGAAGCTCTTCAGCGTGAAGAAGCTGAAATAAACCTGCAGAGCTTCAGACAGGTACCAGCTGACACGTGTGCGCCGTTACAAAACCAATACGGATGTTTCTATAGCTCTTCCAGTCTCTCTTGATTTCTGTCGCCTATCATTTGTCATTCGTCATCTGTCTGAAAAATCCAAATAGATCTCGACTTGTGGTTTCGTTGGATATTAGGAACTTTTAATATCTCGGTAACAAAACTTGCAGGCCGTTTTGATGTAACAAATAGGAGAGATCACATTCGTAAGAACTGCAAAAATGTCGGTGGTAAAAATTAAAATACACATCAACTAAAATGCGTGCTGTTTAATTATTGCCAATGCAGGCAGAATGTCAGAAAGACAAAAGATTTTTACTGTAGAAACCACCTTTTATTAGGAAAATGCTTTATCGGGAACATCCCTTCTATACTGACAAACCAAACCGTCTTGTTCTTTTTGGTTTCATATAAGTTCTTCAGACAGCAGTAAAGTTTAACGACAATGGCAATGTCAGAAACATTAAGGTAGAACATCACGGCATGGGTTTCTGACCGCGATAGACAATCATTGTGCCGGGCTTGTTAATGGAACGAGTCCCCATGTGCGCAGACTGAGCGGCACAGCTGCGTGTCAGCTGGCAGACAGAGGGGGGGCGATGCACCAGCATCCTGTTAGCCCTGAGTTCCAGCAGTCTTCCCTGAGGTGGAGCAGCTGCAGCTGGGACCTGGTACAGAGCTGTACTGCAGGGAGCCCCAGAGGGGGGGGAGAGCTGAACAGGCGGCTTGTCTGCGTAAGGGGCAGCTTCTTGGCTGGGGGGCAGGATGACAAAGCAGGCTATTGTTTGAGTCGACAGTGGCCAGCTGTGCCCTTTGTCACTGAAAGCTGTGAGGTTTAGCCGCAGACAGGGATGGGGTTCGACGTGTGGGGGGGGGGGGTTCGTGAATACGGGCTACAACTGACTGGACAGGAAGCCGAACAAACCACCCACGGTATCTAATAACCACATAACCCATGACGTGTGTCTGGTTCTCACATTACGAATCTCCATCAGGCAATACATCCATCCAATAAGCGTCAATAAGTGAATTACACCTTTTTGGGTGAATTCAGTGAGTCTAAATCCAGTTATCTGATAAATCTAAACGAGAAAAACACACCCATGTCACCTAGGATGTGGACAACGCCTCTCTGGCCCGCCTGGACCTGGAGCGGAAGGTGGAGTCTCTGGAGGATGAGATCGCCTTCCTGAAGAAGCTTCATGAGGAGGTGGGGCTACAGCGCCTTCACTGACTGCACCCCAACTCTGCCCCAAGCCTCACACACACACACACACACACACACACACACCACCGCACCTACCAACCCATCAAGGTGAATTACTGAGAGGACGGGGGTCTTCCCATCCCCCCCCTTGCAGGAGCTGACTGAGCTGCAGACCCAGATGCAAGAGCAGCACGTGCAGGTGGAGATGGAGGTGGCCAAGCCAGACCTGACGGCCGCCCTGCGCGACGTCCGACTGCAGTATGAGAACCTGGCCACCCGAAACCTCCAGGAGTCTGAGGAGTGGTACAAGTCGAAGGTGAGCACACCCTCTGCCGGGTGACACCATCACAATACAGTACCTGGTGAGTCAGGCCTACCTCCACACTCCAAATGTTTGGTTAGGAAATCCCGTTCCGTCCATCTTTCCATCTACCCCTCGCCCAGTCCGGGCCGCCGTATGAATGATAATTCTGAAGCTTAAGACTGCCCCCTCCTGCTCTCTCAGTTTGCCGACCTTTCCGAGACGGCGGCCCGTAACCAGGAAGCCCTCCGGCAGGCCAAACAGGATGCCAACGACTACCGACGGCAGGTGCAGGTCCTCACCTGTGAGGTGGACGCCCTCAAGGGCACGGTGAGTACTGTACCCCCCCCCCAGCCCGCCTTAACCCCGGCTCCACTCCGGAAACTTCCAGATACTTCTCTGTCATCGGACCTGTGCTGCTTCCCCTCGTAACACTGTTAGCGTCTCCCCAAAAAAACAGCCTTACCTTTCTTGGACTGTTATCTGCATATTTCCCTTTCACTTTCTGTTACTTTGTATCACTAAAACCTTACTTCCTGTCACCACAGCCTTAACCATCTTGCTATGCTACCTGCATATTTCCCTTTCACTTTCTGTTACTTTGTATCACTAAAACCTTACTTCCTGTCACCACAGCCTTAACCATCTTGCTATGCTACCTGCATATTTCCCTTTCACTTTCTGTTACTTTGTATCACTAAAACCTTACTTCCTGTCACCACAGCCTTAACCATCTTGCTATGC